AACAGTTACTGTAAAATACTTCATTTGAGCTGGAATTAATTTTTGCTGAAAGGACATTTTTGGTGCTTTGTATAGAATTTATTTTCACTGATTTCTGACAAGTCGAATGTAAAATATAGGAAAAAAGATATATTCAATGGATTTTATTTTCACTGAATCGTAACTACAGCGAAAATTAATTCGAGGCGAAAAAAAAAGTATTCTACAGTACGTCTCAAGATTAATTGCTTACATTTTCATGCTCGAATCTGGTTAAGATTTTTATTTCTCTTAGGGTTCGTTGGCAGTATGTCTGGTGCTCAAATGGACTGATCTTCTTAATGGCAACTTTCTCTCCAGTATGGTTATCCAGTGCAGAACTAAGGGGAGAAATCAAAAAACACTTTGTTAGTGTCAGAGTAACCTATTCATAGGTTGGCCGACCTTTGACATAGTGTACTGCCTTGACAACTACAAATGTATGCATGTCAATCCACGTGAGTGATTTACAATAACATCTGAGCTCAGCCACACATCAGAATGCCGGTATCAGTATCTCGCATTCTTTTGTGTAATTATGCTCAAATTAATTTGTAATAAATTTTTAAAAAAAGCACAATTTCTTTAACATAATGACACGTACACAAACATTCATTTAAAATTGCCCGATTAGCTGCGCTCTGGTACAACTTAGTATATCAAATAACAGAGAAATGCTGATAGTGGGCAAGGACGATTTCAATTGTAGCTCCACGAAGAATGTGAACATTGCTTTGATTTGATTGGGTTGGGTTGGGTTGGGTTGGGTCACACATCACAGGTAATATAATATGCAATAGACCATTTTCCGTTCACTGCGAGAATCACGCAATATGCGCGAAATCAAACGTTAAAACGGGACAAACAAAGGTCATAGCGTCGTAGTGGCGTCAAACATCGCGTGGGATTCGACAAACGCGAAGTATTTTGGGGGACATTTCCATGCTTAATAATGTGCTGTCCACATTTCATGATAGGCAATTTCGATTAAGTAAGGGTATACGGAAGCAATATTCCTCCGTCGAAGATCGGCCGGTCGATGCGAGTTATGAAATAAAGAAATTCTAGTTCAAAATCAAATAGTTTGACTTTTGCGGCAAACGTTCGACGCGCATCTTTCATTGCGAGATCCCGCAATTGTACGAAAAATCACCTATTGTCCGAGAACAACGAATGTACCAGGGTTTAAAATGATTCTAAGAATTAAAACATCACTTATGCCATTCACTAGAATTTCGTGTGAATAAACTACCTATATTGAACATAGCACAGGGCAGTGAGAGTGATGCTCCAATTATTGTATGCTCAGTTTCTATTGAAACAAGTATTACATATTTCACGCAGATGTGCGCAACCATTTCATGAATGGGCAGACTTATTTTTAGCTGGAGACATTTTACAGAATACATACAATACCTTGAGACAAAATATATGTTATTTAAAAGCATGCTTGCATGTCAACTAGTTTAATGCTAAATAACAGATGACGACAATTCCCAACCTACTTTCCACACCTACACCATGTACTTAATCCGTGCAATCTGTAACCCAGCTGTGATATCATAACCCACATAACTATCAGTAGCCATAACCTAGACAACTATCTACTATTTGTATATTTGATTTAAACAAAAACATTAGAAAATAGATTAAAAAAACATTTTTTGGTTTTATTTAGCAGTGAACTATTTTTTTACTTTCAAGAATTAATATATTATTAATATCAGAATTTATATATATAATCCACATTTCACTGTAACCATGACAACAAAGGACTGAGGCGAAACCAAGCTCAGTGAATACATTAAACTATTGGTACAAAATGTTATTTTGGTACACATAGGCAGATGTTTTTTGTAAGGAATGCGGACTTGGGCATGTAGCCAAAGGTCATGAAAAAGGTCATAAACCCAAACCATGTTCAATTGATAACTAATTCATTTAAGATCGTTAACTGAATGCAGCATTCAATAACGACAATCTAGAATCAATACACATGTATGTCCATGAATGAGCAGACATGAGTGAAGCTGTTCAAAACTACATGTATTAGTAATGTACATGTATCAAATCAACAGGTTTTTTTTTATATCCAACTTTAAATAATTAATCTGACAAGCATGACATCAATGTTTCTATGACAACACTTCAACATTAGAATATTCAGATGTAGTATTGTGCTGCATGTACAGTGCAGAGAAAACAATGGTTTGACATAAAATGTATTGATACAATTCAGTGGAGGAGAAGAATAGATTCCATCAATTCGACCAACACCTTCAGAATTGTAACCCTAGGACACAAAGTCCACTATTGCTTCCTGTTTTTGTACATTACATTTTATATAATTCTTTTGAAAATTATGACCATTTAATCCAAAAACAAAGAAATGATAGGAAAATGTGCAAAATATTGCATAATTATGGTCACCAAGCCTGGTTAACACCACGATAGAATAGCATATTAAATTGCTGTTTGATAGAGACAGCCGCACAACCCTGTCATGTACATGTAGTCTCAAACATGAATAGGGCTTCTGTGGCAAAAATGCACTATGTTGTCAGCAATTGCAATTTACACATACCAAAAAAGGTCAGGGGAGACAACAGTGACATTCAATGTCCGAAACTGTCACCTTTGCACAAAAACATTTTTAAAAAAAATAAAATAAAACATAAAAAATTATGGCGTTTAAATGAACAACTTTTAAGGAAGTATTCACAAAATATTCCTCTAAATCATTATTCTCAAGTTCAGAACTTCAAAAAACAAGCAGCCTATCGGCTGAGATAGCTCCGCTGTTAGCAATGCACATTTCAATTAAAGAACTGAAGACATGATTAGAAAATGAACAATATGAATAGTATCAAAGCAATCAGACTTACAGTTTTTAACAAGAAGTCGAAAATATCACTTTTTACCAAAAAATTACAAAAATATTCACCAAAATAAATTAATTAGAGAATTAAAGATATCATCACAAAACAAACAAATCTGAGAGAGGTCCACATGTAGTACCTATATATGTAATATCAAAGCAATTGAACTATTGGTTTTTAACAAGTAGTCGAAAATATCACTTTTTACCAAAAATTACAAAAATATTCACCAAAAT